CCAGCTCTACTCTTCATCACTATGATGCTGTAACTCAGAGGTGATGATGGTGACCCAGCGATGTCCAGTAGTCTCCAGTGAGAGCAACAGCTGCTGCACGTTGTAACGCCGTCACTTTTGTAGTCCTCTCATTTAGTACAACTCGTGTGTTCTTCTGGTGACGGTGCGTCTTGAGGCTCATACGTGACGTCATTCGTTGGGATCCTAAAGGTGCGTTCACACCAAACGCGACGTGAATGCACCTTGAGAACGTTCCTCAGACCGACATCTTCTACAACACTAACCTGCAGTTTGTCTCCACTTCTCTGTAGCATCTGTTAGCTTGTCTTGCTTTAGTTTATCTCTACTTCTCCCACACGCTGCATCAACGTAGTCTGCCGAAGACTTCCTCCACCGCTGCCAGTGCACACACTTTCAAAATAAAGTAACAGACTGTCTCACCCAGCCGAGGACACTCTGGACACGGAGCAGGCAGGTCCACATGGTCACCTGCTGGCCGACCGTCTGCTGAACAGCCCTGAGCTGGGCTTCATGGGTCTTCATCTCCAACCCACATCCTGTACTTGAACCAGTGGCGCTTTTCTCTCTGAAGTGCCGCGGAGTTAGCCTGCTAGCTAAACTGAGACAGCTAAGCTAAGCTAAGCTAAGAAAGTGCACACTCACAGTCGCCGAAGCATAAAATAGTCGTAGCGGTCCGTAGTCGGTGCATAAAAAACACCACTGCCACCGATGTGACCGAGCATCCTGGGTTCGTGTATGAGGGGCATTTATAAGACGGTAATAAGCAGAGTCGGCAGACCAGACTTCTCGTTCAGCCCAGGCTTCTCTCGTTTATTTCTAAAATCCCCCCCCAACCAGAAGCGGAAGTCGCCTTTTCTCTACGGCAACCCTGAAGGGACATATCATCTCCAATACAAAATGATAAACATGAGACAGTCTGTTACAATAATAATAATAAAAATAATGCGTTAACGCGCGATAAGATAATTGTCGGCGTTAATTAATTAATGCGTTAACGCGAAATTAACGCGTTAACTTGCCCAGCACTAATTAAAACCAGTCTGTAAAAATGTGTTTTAAGAATTGATTTAAAATAGATTAATAACACACCTGAACCCTGAGCTGAGACACACACACACACACACACACACTGCTCTTACCAGGATCTGGTCCACTTTGGTCTGAACACTTTTACTGGAACAGAGAGAGAAGACACCGATCAGCCTCATGGACAGAAACGCACGAGTCATCGTTTAGTTTCACGTAAAATCAGGAGGTTTACTCGAGACAAAGACACACACACACACACACACAGCAGGACTCTAACTGTTAATGTAAAGTCTGTGAACTCCTTCGTTCTTCTCAAAGAAAGAATCAATATTACTCAATGTTTGGTATCAATATGAATTCTAAATAGAATTCAAAACAAAACACAGACTTGTGTTTTCAGCAGTTGTTTTCTTGTGAAACACATAAACGACACGTTGTTGTAGTGTTGACGGTGGTTTATTTACCAGCTCCTTATTAAAGGACTTCTGGATATTAAACATTAGACACTTCTTCTGTCGCGGTTCAATAATATTTGTTCTTAAAGTGAAACAAGTCACATGACACAGACCAGCTGTTTGAGACAACACAAATACTGACCTACTAAGTTATATTATTTAGGTAAAGGAGGATCTCTTCCTGTTTGAGAGGCATTTCAAAATAAATCACAAATCATTTTTATATTTGACTTGTTTTGATTATTTTACTTCCTAATTTAAACATGTTGTATTCATACTATACGTGTCAGTCGTGTTCTCAGAAGTTTTGTAATGAACTCAAATATTTGACTGATGTATTCTTGTTTAAACTTTGTTTCCTAACATTTCACCGGAGGAAACAGACAGAGACATGAAACTATATTTAAACATTTAAAATAACTTTTATTTTGGTAACTGCTTGTTAGGAAACAGTGTTTGAAGACGAGCTGGAGGAGGAAACTGTCGCACATATTCAGAGACAAGGAACATAATAATGTTCATTTCCTCCTCAATAGAAACCTCTGATTCTACTCACGAGATGTTGCTCTTGAGTTTCTGCAGCAGCATGCTGGGCTCCGTGTCGCCCCCCCCCCCCCCCCCCCCCTCCAGACCGCCGCCCCCCCGCTGGTCCTCCGACATCTGGACCGACTAACCGGCACTGAGCGGCAGCAGCATCTGAGGAGTAACAATAATATATAATTTATTATTAAATATCATATAATTTATTATTAAATAATATATAATGCATTATTAAATAATATATACTTTATTATTAAATATCATATAATTTATTATTAAATAATATCCATCCATCCATCCATTTTCCTCCGCTTATCCGGGGTCGGGTCGCGGTGGCAGCAGGCCAAGCAGGCTGACCCAGACCTCCCTCTCCCCGGCAACATGTTCCAGCTCATTCTGGGGGATCCCGAGGCGTTCCCAGGCCAGCTGGGAGATGTAATCCCTCCAGAGTGTTCTGGGTCTTCCCCGGGGTCTCTTCCCAGTTGGACGTGCCCGGAAAACCTCCAGTGGGAGGCGCCCAGGAGGCATCCTAATTAGATGCTGAACCACCTCAGCTGACTCCTTTCGATGCCTACCTCTTGACCTCTCTACCTTTTGAGTGCCTACCTCAAGCGAAGGAGTTCAAGTATTAAATAATATATAATGCATTATTAAATAATATATACTTTATTATTAAATATGATATACTTTATTATTAAATAATATATTATTTATTATTAACTTATATATCATTTATTATTAAATATAATTAAATGTATTATTAGATATTATATCATTTTTTATTAAATATTATTTAATTTATTATTAGACTTTATATAATTTATTATTAAATAATATATAATTTATTGTTAGATATTATATCATTTATGATATAATATCTAATGATATTATATCATTTATTATTAAATAATATATTATTTGATTGACAGAATATTCATCATCAAAATTAAACTTTGTTCAATCCAGCAGAACTTTATTTATTGTATTGGAGAAGTTGGAGCTCATTTTATAAACTAATTATTATTTTCATTATCAATTAATTATGATTATTTTCTCCATTAATCGATTTATTATTGTTTGGTTTGTGAAAATAGTGAGAAATGTTTGTCACAATAACCACAATAAAAGTGACACCTTCATAATGCTTGTTTAGTCCAAACCTCAACATTAATAATATTACATTAAATATGTGAAACATAATGGAAAACAAATAAAAAATATTAGTAAAAATATGTGAAAAAAATAAAATAAAAATCCATAAATTATGTGAAAAATGCCTGAAAAAAGTTATTATAATTATTTAAAGTAAAATCTTCCTATTTTCACATTTTATAAGCTGGAACTTGGAAATGTTTTCACATGAACATTAATTCAACATTAACTCAACATTAATCTTCTGTAAATAGACTGATTCATTATTGGACTGATGGTTTCAGGTTTGATTGTAACACAAAATAAAACCAAACATCTTATATTACATCTTATATTTCATAAACTCTTGAATGTGTTTTGTATCAATCACAATCTGTAAAGTAACTAAAAGATAAATGTTGTACAACGTCTCCCTGTGAGATGTAAATATAAAGTACCTCATACTTGTACATGTAAATGTACTGTCACATTCCACCACTGGACTCATTTACTTAAAAACACTGATGACGTAATGCTTTGTCTCAACACGAGGACAATACTGCAGACAGACAGACAGGCCCCTCCCATCTGTCTCACTGAATTGTATCGTCACACCACATTTTTAAAGATCACACTTTTTCAGCTCGTTTATTCTGCGCTGACAGCCGGTTAAAATATATACAAACAGTCCCGGTGTGTCTACCGGGTGGTGACACATGACCGGCTGTCACCTGGACCGTTACACGTTACTACTACTACTACACGCACACACACACACACACACACAGAGAGGGAGAGGGAGAGAGGCTAACGGGTAGCTAGAGCTGACAAACGGCCGTTAAACAGCCGTTACCCGCCGATGTGTCATGTCTGACGGCCGCGTGTTTACAGCGCGCGGTGAGCCGGTGGTCATGTGGCTGCTGCCATTTACTATTACAACACACACACACACTGACCCAGCTCAACATGTTACTGCCGAAGCTAACTGGCTAGCAGACAACACATTAGCTAAACCGAGGTAGCAACACTTTAGCACGTCGGTTGGGTTGAATGCGAACAGATTGAACAACTTAAAAGCACGTAGAGACCCGATAGTACTACGTCTCGCGGTGGAGTAAAGTCATATTAGTTTGTCTTCAACATTTTGCCGCGTTTTGCTGCTAGCTAGCTACGAGGATCGCTGCTAACCGGCTAACTAGCCTAGCTGGTTTGCTAGCAGGTAGCGTTAGCTAGCAAACACCCATTAAAACGTCTTTTTACAAGCTGTTTGTAATTTCTAAATATTTTCCGATAACAGTTTATTTATTCTGGTATTAATGTATGATCGATTCGGTGAGTCGCATTTGAGTATTTATTTTTAAAAAGAAAAAGAAAGTACCTGAGCCAAGATACAGCAAAAATCCCCTTTCAGATTTTTTTGTGATTGGCCGACTTTGTTATGTCTGCCTGACTACAAAGCCAACGTCTATTCTGATTGGTCGACGGTCACTAATCTACTCGGATACCAAAAGCGGGGGGGATTCCGTTCGTCGAGCGGAATTATTTTTCTGACAGGGTTTATTCTGATTGGACGCGTTTACCTGGTCTGCCCAGTTACAAAACAGATGAATTTATTTCTTGAAATCTGCATAGCAACAGCCGCCTGTTCAGACAGTGAAAGCGAAAATAACATTTAATAAATACTATTAAACGTGTATTTATGTTGATTATACTATTATTACAGTCTAGGAGTACAGACACTTTCAGAGGATATAACTATACATAGCCTATATGTATACAAAAACAATTTATTAAATACATGAGTTATTAATTATCCACTTTATAGGGTGAAATTAAACTGCTTTTTACAGGGAAACATTTTTATTGTGGACTGCAGTTAAATACCAACAAAAATAATAATTTGACTATATGTTAATTATAAAAACATGTATCCAGTTATGAGACACGATCAGCCTGTAAAAAACCTTGACATTATCCACAGGATGTAGTTAATATATAATATAGGGCGACATCATTAAATGGGCAGAAATGTTAACGTTTTATTTTGGAAAAAGGGACTTTTTAATTTACAGCTTAAGGTTTTCAAGAGTTGACATTCATCTGTATAAAAACAAATAAAACTACATTTTTGGATTCACCACATTTATTTTCCATTATACAAAAGTTACAATGAACATCAGAAAAAGATTAAACTGAGAATGATAAGTTGTTTGAAAGACTTCGTCAGTCGCCGCTCGTCTTCATTCAAACCCGCTGCAGAGAAACAAACCAAGAAAAGTTCATTATAATTACATCTATGAGATCTCAAGAAGGAACTTTTACCGTCAGACAATTCATCAGGAACACTTATATATAATATATTCATATATTAAATTGTTTCAAATTCAAATTGAATCCTATTGCAATTAACAAATTCTGTTTTTTCTGGAATCAAATGAATCTTACTCATTTTAAAATGTAACACCAAACAATAAATATTGTACTTTTACTTTAAAAATATATTAAGTTATTCTGTGGTCAAACCCTCCACCTGCTTGGAATAGAAGTTGTTCTATGTCTGTACCTGAACAACACTTAACACTCAAACTAATGTGACTGTTAACAGCCTCCTGTGACCTTTGACCCTACATGACCAAGGGTACATCCCAAGTCTCTTAACTGCATCCCCGTTTCCCTCACTTGGGTCCTTTCCTTGCGTCTTAGTCCCTCCCAGGGATGCATGGAGGAAACCATGCGAGGAGAGAGGAACGAGGAAATATGTTTTAAGAAGATAAATGAAGAAAGTTGTTCGTGGTCCTTTTGCTGTTCAGTCTACAACAGTAAAATAGTTAAAATTCCAAAAGATATACACATACGTATACACATACACATATACATACACATACGTATACACATATACATACACATACGTATACATATACACATATACATACACATATGTATACATATGCGTTCCGCGGTCCGCCAATTGGTGACCCCTGGTCTACAATGAACATTTATTTAAACCAGATGTTGAATCAGAAAACGAATCAAATATAAAGCTTGAGTTTAATCTGTGATCCGTCTTCACTGTTTACATGTTGAACAAAATCTCATCAGTCCGATCAGCTGCAGCGTCCAATCACATGACTGATGAACAATGAGGGGGCGTGTCGGCCGTTAAAACACTTCCTGGAAGTCTGTTCTCGTGGGTCCTCGCTCATGGCGCCTCAGAGATCCCTCCTCCCTCCTCAGAGCAGAAATAAGAGCTTTGGGACGGCCGTCAATATGGCGGCGCAGAACAACTTCCGGTTCGAGCGAGGAAATGACAAATAGGAGACTTGGGCTGTACCCATGTGACCCTACCTGACCATGAGAACATGTGACCTCACCTGACCATGTGAGCGATGTCCCAGTTAGTCTCAGAGGACAGAGGACCAACGATCTCCACACCCCCCTCTGTTACTATGGCGATCTCATGCTGAAAATAGAAACACATCATTAATAAAACATAAACACTGACTGTAGGTCAGTGACTCACTCCGTTAGTGGTGTTTAACTACACCATGAAGATAACAGCTGACTGTAGGTCAGTGACTCACTGTTAGTAGAGTTTAACTACACCATGAAGATAACAGCCGACTGTAGATCAGTGACTCACTCTGTTAGTAGAGTTTAACTACATGATGAAGATAACAGCTGACTGTAGGTCAGTGACTCACTCTGTTAGTAGAGTTTAACTACACCA